GAAGGAATTAGATCACTGGATGGAATGGAACCCTCAATAGACGGTGAGAAAGGATTTTGGTCATTGAAATCGGGCTGCGTGTCGGGGTTCCTCTCTTCTTTAAAGTTTGAATCTTAATTATGAGTTCTTTTTTACAACATCCATAACTCAATAAGTTCCGAGATCATATGTTAATAACATAATGGCATTGGCAAGGTGTGGAAGCCTAGGATTAAACATTAATTAGTTTTAATATGAGTACATTCCAATTTTTTTTTTCTAATGATTTAGATGGTAAGTTATATAATATGAAATACTTCCCTCCTTTAAATAATCCCTTTTTATATAATGTTTTAAGATTTTGATATAAAACTTTTAATTTTGAGCCTTAAACTATATATAAACTATATATTAAAGACTTGAAACATCGCATTTAGGCATAAGCACATCTCCAATAATTAAAGAAAAAAAGTATTATGCAGTTTATACTATGTCAGATCATATTATATTAGATTACATAATATTAATTATTAAATTGGAGGCGAGTCCCTAATATTGGGATTCTTCCTCATATAATGACTCCTAATTTACATTGTTGTGCAGTACAGATTACAAGACAACAGCTCATAATTAAACATGCTAATTACTTTTTTTTCTTGAAAAAGTTTAAACTCTCCTACCTCAAACCTTTATATGGCACCAAAAGGCAAATTAAGGAAAGGCGGGTTTATTTTCTTCTAGAAATGTTAGTAACAGACTGTTAGTAATATTAATTTTTACTCTCATTTTTTATCGTGTTTTAACATAATCACGATGTGATTGGTTTATGTGTTGATGATATATTTTTTTTATAAGAAATAGAGAATTTTATTAAAGAAACAGAGAGATTATACGTGAATAAATATATCAAAGCATTTAAAGTAAAGTACAAATATATTTATAGCACTATATATAAATGAAAATTATGCTTATGATAAAGAGAAAAAAAACTATAGAAAGCCACTAATATTTAAAGATTATCAAGATAATTACTACATTTGCAATAACAAAGCTATGGTATATTTTACACTAGTAAAATTCTCCTCTACAACAACATGGAAGCAGGTTGGTGAAAGTGCTTCCCATGTTGCTGAAACTCCTTCAATAACGTAATTCTTGTTGCTAAAAACTTTGTTGGAAAAGTTTTATTGGGTGATACATTACCAACAAGTTTTTTGTTGTTGATTCATGGTGCCTTTTTAGCAACATAAGCCATGTTGTTTAAAATATGGTTTTAACAACGTAACTTATATTGGTAAAAAATATTCACCGAAATCCAATGGAAGATTATGGTGACTATTTTCATAATTTTCAGCAACATAAACTACGTTAGTGAAAAACCACGTTGTTGAAAATATGGTTTCATCAAAGTGGCTTATGTTGCTAAAAATTAGTGATAAACTAGTGACCAAACTTTTTAGCAACATATGCCTTATTGCTAATTATATATTTTCATTTACGTGGCTTATGTTGGTAAAATGATCATCAGAATCCAACACCGAAACTGTGGCACCATTTTCAGCTACATAAGCCACTTTGGTGAAATCATATTTTCAACGTGGCTTATGTTGCCAAAAATTAAGAGGGGAGTTTGGTCACACACTTTTCAACAACATATGTCTTGTTGCTAATTACTTTTGAATAGTATATAGCCTATTTTTAGTAACATAGCCCTTGTTGCTGATTTTCCATTATCAGCAACAAGGATTATGTTGCTAATAGCATGCTAAAGAGTACAACAACTTATTATTAACAATATAGTCCTTGTTGTTGATAGTATGGTGAAAGTAAAGCTCTCTATTTTCAGCAACATACCCTTGTTGCTGATGTTTATTCGAATAGTACCAATGGCATTTTCAACAACATATCCCTTGTCGATGATGTATTAGAATGCTTGATAAAAAAAAATTATACCTACCAATATCTGAACACATATTCTTTATTTTCACTTATATGATAGTAAATATATTACAGTAATTTTAAACTATCATTATTAAATTTAACAATAATACAGATTTAAATATGAAATTCACTTTTTTTTTTTAAATCACCAAATATTAAATCTCTTGATATCTCACATACAACAAAATTAATTATACCTACGAAAAATAATTATAACTAAATAATAAATATTTATTAATTAGATACCATTTACAAATTTTAGCTAAATAAATTTAAATTAAATAACTCAAGTCAATTAATGTCTGGTTAGGTATCTTACCAAACTTGAATTTTTTACTTTATTAAGAATTATCTACAAAGCAAACAAAATATCAAAATTGTTAATTACTATATATATAATTATTTATAAATATATTAACTTTCACATAAATTGATACCTACTTAATCATTTAATATTTACAAAAATATTTCATATAATATGCTTCAAGGGAATTGAAGTAGTTGATGGAATTGATTCAATTATTAATATATGCATGCGAATTTAATGATAACAAAGAACAAGTAAAATTAACATATTAAAGAATGGATAAAAATGGGTGAGATATGGAGGACATGTGCTAAAAGAAAAAAATAAAAAATAAAAAGAGGCTGAGATGTGAACGAGTGGCAGAGAGGATGGTATGTAGGAGAATGGGAGGAGAATTGAAGA